TATATATATATATATATATATGAAAGAAAAATATTTCGATAAATATTTAAATAAAAGATAATATTAGGATTCATAATCATGATATATCTTTTTCAATGTAATTTTGCTTCCATGTAAATTAATCAAATCTGATAATATAATCAAACAGAAACACATGTATGCTACCCTTCATAGAACTACTGTAATCAATAACCACGCCCTTTTACATTATCGCTCTATAATCTGTGTATGCCCGCGAAAGATGTTTTCTTCGCGGTAGTTATGATTGATAGTGCCCTGTTGTTTCGTTTTTCGGTCATTAATCCTCATAATTCACAGGGTGAAGTATTTTGCGTCGTGCATATTGTATAGAGAAAACAACCCTGGTTGAAAATGAAATTAAGTCGGAGTCGAAATATATGCAATACAATGATACACACCATTAAAAAATATTTTGTCCAGTATGTAATTATCACAGCCAATAGAAATAATCTGGTACTGTGATTATAAATAATGCAATAACTTCAATAAAAATATAATTTAATAATATTATTACTTTATACAGTTGTTTTAATCTCATTGAAAAAAAAAAATTTGATAATTGTGCGAGCAATATTCACAACTTGCGAGCAGTATTTACATGTTGCGTGATAACGGAAATATTAGATACATATTTAAACTATCTTAGAGCGTAGAAAGCGAAAATTGAAAAGTCACAAACGGTATAATATTTGAATTAATCTCGCGATTTACATAAGCCCTAGTGGCCGGTTTTACAAGGTTGCCTCCCTTTCAGCGATCGTGACGGAGATCCAACGGTCACGAGACGGCATTTGACACAGTTTCGCGCTCGAAGTACCCGCGTTAATGCTAGAGAAAAGCTTAATCGGCGCGGATCGCATGTCTACCGTACATTTTTGCGACTCACCTTACAGATCTCCGTGCTGGCGTAATACTTTTCCGGCGGGGGCGGTATGGGTGGTGGGTTAGACGGATATTCTTGGACCGCCGGAATTGGCCTGGCAAGATTGATCGTCGTCGAGTTAAGCAGGAGCGGAATAACTGGCTGCACCTCGTTGATTCCTGTCCGAGCGACGAGGAGCGAAACGAAAAAGAATCAAGAAATTCGACAAAGTTAAAAATATAATCACGGCTAGCCGTCGACGAAAGGAATTGCCGTCTGTAACGCCTTCTCTCGCGTCGAGTTTCCAAGTTTCGGGAGATCGTTACCATTTTTTAACGAGACTCCGTGCAGCACCGCGAAACTCCAACGTCATCGGAGTACACCGAATGAAGTTCTTCCGGAAACTCGGAGGTAACGACGAAAATAATGTCTATTTCAATTTATTACGATACTGCTATTATATATCGTCCGTCTCGCATAGGCTCGCCCGCACGGTAATTATGACATTTGTGGACTCGCAAAATTAGTGACCTGTTAATGAGTCGTAACATGCCGTTTTCAATAGTTAATTAATCAAAGACTTTAGTCTAATTCAATTAAACAAGGTCGCGCGACGCGACAAACAGTCTCTTTGTGGACTGTGGTTCTCTCTCTCTCTCTCTCTCTCTCTTTCTGTGTCCAGCAAGCTGTGCCAACTACGAGACGCAACGGAATAGTTTGTTGACTATTCCAACTACGTTGTGCGGCCGTGGTAGAACCAGGCGCAGAGATTCGAAACCTCGGCTTGACCGTCACTCGGGACAACCCGTTAGAATTCCCGCGATAACACGAAACTATCCATGTCGAGACAGGGTCGAAGTCAGCGAATACGGAAGTGGAAATGTCTTTGATGAAATTGAACGGACCGGGATGTTGATCAACTTTTGATGTCATCATTGTTTGAAAATGATAAATTAACTTCTTCTTAAAGATCAAATTTATAGCGACAAATTATCGGAAATATATCGGAAAAACGAGGAGGAAAAATAAGAATTTGTTGAACAAAAATTAGAAGTAAACACGTAGAAATACTAAAAAGATGTAATAAAAAAATAAAATAAAATAAAAATGGAAATGTTTGAACTATGAAAATTAGCGAAGCAGATTTTAAAAGTTAAGCACTCAGCATTCAAACGAACACCGGTCCGATACAGTTTCAACGATTGCGACTCTAAGGAAGTAATTGAACTTGTAACAATTAGAATTAAAAGAAATCTAGGTATTTGTACGTTTACGTGCAGTATTTTAACAATATTTCAACGAGACTGTAATCCCAGCTAAAAGTGAACCAAATTCGGAATGTAGATGTAAAAGGAAATATTTAAGCGTATGAACTTTTAAACGTTGGTACCAACCGGTGTAATCCGTGACGGTTTTGTGTAACTGCGGCGTTGTCGTGCTGTAAGTGGCTGGATGGTACTGCGCCGGAAGCGGGGGGCAAATTGGTCCTTTGTCCTCGCCCTCCTCTGGCACGGAGACCTGTGGCCAAATATCGAGCGTTATCATTAATGCACTTGACATTTATGCACACGCCGACCGTGTATATCACGCGGTAAAAGCGATACACCGTCGGTTTATCCTCTCCTATTTTCCAGCTCTCCCTCGCGACCCCCCTGCTCTTACTCTCCTCAGAATATTCATAGCCGACGAAACGAGGAGACACTGCATGGGGTTGGCCCTGAAGGGGTTGGCGCGCGCGAGTATCTGGTTATTGTGTGCTGAGTACCCGTGCGATGAATACCCGTTGGCCTACTGACTTATTATGTATTGCCGATTGCGTAATTTTATTTTACAGCACTCGGCACACGCTACCGTAGACGGAGCATGGAAAATAGCGCGAGCTTATTTTTGTTACCGATAGAAAGGATAATGTTGGAACGACTCCCTAGCTATTCGCGAAGTTCCATAAACTTGCCCCTCCCCAACGCCGTTCGTTTCGAGATAATTTAAATTTAAATATTACAGATACGGATTTCCTTATCGTTTAACGTTTAATTTAAAGAACCGTTAATGCATTTTTTCCGTGAATAGTATCGCTTTCGTTTGTAATACGTTAATTTTATCTCAGGAATAACTAGTATAACGTAAAGTAGGCTATTGCAGATAAGAACGAAATCTCTTTCTATTATAGCTGATTTATTAAGTTTTCACATAAGGTACTTTTTACAGCCACGCGAGAGAATGGTTAAGAAGAGAGCGCGATGAAAACTCGGCGCATCTCAAGTATCAAGGAAAAAACACGACGTAGTATTAACGGCAACGTATTCTCGACGCCTAGCGTAAGTTGCATTTGCCTTTCTCCATTAACGGGATTCGTCATGGCAGTGCGCTTTCATCTAAAATGCGACGGTAAAACCGCGCGGGTGCTCACCCGTAAAGCTCTTATCTCGCGTCACTTCCTCCCGACGCCCCTTTATCTTGCAACCGTGCAAAAGTACACGAGGGTCTAGACGATCGAGCCCGACATGCCACCTCAGGAAATTAGCAGTTTTATTATAACAAACAATCTAGGATACCCGAGACACCCCGGAGGGGTGTTTACGTTGCGGCTCCTCGTCACTTTTCTTTGCACGATAAGACAACTCGCGAGGGATCGCAGGAACACGACGAGCACCGTATGTATGCGCGCGCGCGCGTGTGTGTGTGTGTGAGACTCGCGATATAATATCCATTGATTTTTACATTGCTCCAGGCAGTGGATGCCGAGGCCTGACTTGCGAGGACGTAGGGATGGGTATTAATTTCCGTTTAGGGAGCGTTAGAGGGTGCCAGACTGGTGAGATGCTGCGGCGCGGCCGTTAAGATAAGATAACCACTTAACCATCGGGATTCTACGCGAATCTCACTGCTCTCGCCCTCTTTTGCACTGTCTCGCCAGCATATACACATATATGTACACACATACGTACGCATTGGTGTTATACCATCCATGTCGCTTCTATCTTTCTCGATCGCTCGCGTTTCTAGCATAAGGGCTCGCTTCCCGCCATCGACCTTAACCATCTAACATCTCTTTCTCCATTAGGGCTATCTGAAGTCCTGCCTCGACTTCTCTCACACTCTTATGATCGGGCATTCAAAGCGATGTCGACAGCTCGTTCTCGTCGGTTGGACGCCGAAATGGTCGCGACACTGCGATGGCAGTTTGGAAGTATTATTGTTGCCCGAGAGATAGTGATCCAGTTTACAGAACGGCCTTGCTTATCGTCGAGCAAATTGTCTGCGAATTGTATATAGCGACATGATTCTTGATGCGAAAAAGGGAAAAGTCGAAATCGTTGCTAATAAGGTAATTGATTTGGATCGATGTTTGTTTAACTATGCAAACCTACATTTCAAATGACAAACATGATTAAAAACTTGCACGACTCTTGACATTAACAGGATGGAAATTTTATTTTTGAATCGTCGGTCTAGCGTGAGATCTTGTTTGTACGTCACACATGCTCGGTAATGGAGAAAATAGGCAACTATTAAGAATTTATTAATACGTAAAGTTATGAAAGCCATCGTTAACAAGTCAGCAATATGTAGAACAGCCTGAAATAACTCGCTTATTTTTAACGATAGAAAATAACGTTCCAAAAATAAATAGCTTAGTAGTGGACAATTTACTCATTGTTTCTTTTTCATATTGTCCAGTTTAAACGAACTCAAAAAAATAAATTTTTACATAGTTCGCGACTGTAATATTTTTAAAAGTATAAGCTATGTATATTTAATAGGCTATGAGATAATAGGAACTTTTTTTACTTTTCATGTAATGATGTATAATTAATAACATCATTACGAAGAGATTACAAAGAGAAGATTAAACAAATGATGCATTGATGAAATGCGTAAATCACGCCTTTTCTTTTGACGTATGGTATATCGATCAAATGTAGAAAGGACATCACGAATGTATGTATCCGTGATTCCTTTCGTAAATCCAGACACGTTCTATTGGCCGTAAAATGATTTTATCAATGTATCAATCGCCGGGCATCGTTTAACGTCAAGAAGCCAACCTTGATATCTTTTCTTTATAAGTTTGGTATTCAGAACGGAATACGCCTGGCGAAATAAATTATAGCGCTATTGGTAACAGCGAGAGAGCTTACGTGCACACGTTCCGTGGGATTTATTGAAGTGGCGTATTTGTTTAGAGATATTACGTGTTTGTCCGCATACTAATCGCATATCGAGTTCAACCGCGATTACGAGATCGGCAAACGATAGCATCGAATGATCTCTTAACGAGGCGGTTGAATTAAAGGTGCATTTGAATTAAATGGATTATTATCATAGATAATTTATATGTGTATTAATTCCCGTCAATTTCCCCTTTTTACACTCATGACATAGAATGTGAAATTTCACGATTTCAGCACAGTAAGAGCAATTTTGCTGAAGAATCTACAAATTTAGCTACAGATACAGATCTGTATACAGAAAATAATTTCATGGACCATCAAAATAATTTTGTAAAAATCTTAAGCATTATTGAGCAATGTTGTAAAATGTTTCGATCGATATTCTAGCAACCATATTTTTTCGTCCTACCTAATTATTTTGATGGTCTAATAAAAAATTATTTTCAGATCTGTATTTATAATGGTTAAATTTTTAGATTCTTCATTAAAATTGCTCGGTGAGGAGAAGGAAAACAATGCCTTATTTATTTCATCGTACACGTGATTCGAGCAATATGCATAGGCACGTGTTTAAAACGTAAAATTTTATTACACAAAAAAACATGTATAACAAAATTATGGAAACTAAAATTTTCTGACGCGCGTAATGCATTTTATATATTTATGTTTATACGCAACGGTGCTCGGTATTTACGTTATTTTTTTCTTTTTATATTCGTTTGCGCGCCGTACTAATTTGAGAAAAATGTTAAACTTGTTAATGCAGTCACCGGAAATACAAATAGTGACGTGAAAGGAGCGCGTTAGGCGTAGAGACGAAAACGAGAATCGAAAACGGGTTAGCCCGACAAAATCCGTGAAGTGCTAGCGAAAAGATTCCGGGCACAAAACGATCCTCCATTAATTAGCACCGGAGTGCTTTTTGCCATTTTCATTATCATGAGTACATCTTCGCCTCTTTTCCGCAAAGGCTGCGACCTGTCCCAGCAAGTTTACACATTTCCCAACTCTGTCCAAAAGTGTCTCCCATGCATTTCACTTGTTTCATGCTTTTTATTAATTTTTCATGGCGCTGACCTGCTTTTAATTAACGCATTCCCGTCTTCTTCCTACTTTGGCATATTCCGTTGTTATAAAACGTTTCACGTCCTTTGGATATTATTATAATTATTATATCTAAAGAATTTTAGCATTTTTAGTTTTTGCAACGATGCTTTTTAAACTTTCAAATAAATTCTAACAATTCTGAATTGTCTACACGAAATTGCCGTTTCTTGTCCTTTTTTTTTTTTTGGAATTCCCTTTAAATGTCGCCACTCTTTTTCAACAATTTAACAGATAATTTTTCAAACTGAGAAATAGAACTGTCGCACGGCATACACATATATGTATATTCAATTCGCGGTTAGGATTACAGCGCAGGAAAATCGGAGAGTTTGTTGCTTTAAATTAAAATAATCTGTTTTCAGTCGACTGTCTCTCGTATCGTCCTTTCTATTTCCCTCCTCCCTCGTTCGAGGGAGCTAAACCCGGTAATCACATTACCACTTACTTTTGTACGGAATCCTTGCTGTAGGTCTGCTCACCGTGCTCTTTTCGCATGAACGCAAAAACATGCAAAACGCGTATTTACAGAATTGCATCACAGAGCTGTGCCACATTCAATAATAATAAATTCTATGGCCCGAATAAAATCGCGCTCGTATCTGTTATTATTTATCCAATACGTTCCCCGCATAACGCATATGATTCACGCATGTGCCCTTCAGGCAATGCTGTAAACGGGTTATTTATTGCAACGCACTGATATGTGGATAATTGAATATAATTTGATTTGCTAATTGGTAAAGAATAGCTCGATCTGTAACGCGTGGATGGACGTTTACGTAAATTAAATAATCCCGCGCAATGAAATCTGGAACAAGAATTTGCTGCATCGTAAATTCCCGGATAAGAGGAGGGGAAAAAAAGCACAACACTTCGCGGGGCTTTAAGCGATATACTATCCCACGGAGTTTCCCTCCAACGCTTTAAAGCAGACCGATGCGGCTAACGTGTCAAAAAAGAGCGAGTCCTCCATCATATTCGTTCTAAATGGAATCAGACAGATCGATATGTCATCCACGAAACAAAGTTTAGTTTTCATAGTTCATGTGCTCGATAAATTGGAGAGGTCTTGTGTCCTGTAAATTGTCCTCCTGACTACTTCGGATAGAAGGAGAAGAGAGGTAAGATAAGTTCTACTGGATGGAATGGATGTTCGAACGACGTATCGAAATTTGATGCTGAAAAATAAAGACGCACTGAATAAGGAATGGTGTGTTTTTAAGCACAAAAATCACTCACGATCGAGAACAATGAGCTGCAGTGATTAATAAGTTGTAGCCTACAGTCATGAAGAGATTAATTAATTAAACGTTTATTACGTTGGTAGTATAATACGATAATACGATATTTAGCCAATGAGAGACAATGAATAATTATGCAATAAATTGCTATTTATTTAATTAATGAAAATTCAAGGATAAACAGATCTCGGAGAAAAGTGTCAGTCTTCTCCACATGATTGAGTAGCTATATCGGCTCAACATCTCGTTGAATTGAATCAGGTACGCGAGCGAAGTGAGGACAAGTGGAAACATTGTTTTTCCCGACTTGTCTTGCTCGATAAATTGACAGCGGTTTCCACTTGGCAGACATAATTTGCCGTTCTCTGGAGATTCTGACGTGGGTCGCAGGTTGCACGAAGGGCAATAGGGTCATTTCGTGGGGAAGGAGAAAACGGGGTGGCTCGCGCAACTTCAAGACGGGACAAGTAGCAGGTGGCTAATGTCAGGAACATAGAACAGAAGGGAAAGGAGAGCCAGCGAGGCATGGCCTGAAGATGGGCGAGGAAAAGAAGGTGTTTGGAGTGTATATGATGCCACTTAGCGGCGGGTGAACGACGAAGATAACGCACGTCTTCTCAACAGCGTCGCAATACGGCCATCTCGGCAGCTCTTTTAATTAAGTGGAGTCAGCTCGACTACCCGTGCACTTCTTCGGCGGCTGGTAAAAACTCAGATATTGGGCTGTCGAAGAATACCTTGAGTGATGTATAGTAAAAGCAGGAAGGGGATACGTGTGACGAGTCTGCTTGAGCTTCGCTAGGTAAACGAAAAATATTACATAAATGTGCTCTTTTTGGCCCACGTACTTACAAGCAAAACTGATCAAAAGCAATTAATTAATTTTGCATCGCGCATATTTGCTGAATGTATGAATATTATGTTTATTCCCGCGTATATCAAATGTAATATAAATTATATTATTTAAATTATTATTTTCAAATTGTAAACTTTAGTAAAAGAGTTTGGTAGCTTCTTGATTTCGAAAAACTTTCTTTCGCCCGATCATTTATCATTGTTAATAATGAGCCGAATGAAATATTTCGAGTGACTAATTAGTCACCCTGATAGCTAATGTCGCCATCGCGAGTCTTCAATTTATTTCGATAGGTTGTTAGCGTCATTATTAATTGTCGACTGTCGCTCCGTACGTTTCTCCAGTTGCCTCCGTGCAAACAGTTAAGTTAGGAAAGCTTCAAGGGTTTGCAAGCTCAACTGTCTGGCACTCATTATTTCTCATCGTTCAGCAAGTCGTTAATTACTGTCTTCCGCTATATCCCGCGAAAAAGGATGGGAAAGCGCCGGAGCTGTCCATTTCTACGAACGAACTTCACTTTGCTATTAATCCGGTTTAGTAGTAGAACAACAGTGGCTTGGTAAACATACGCGAAGTTCTCAGAGTTCTTTCTTTTCTCTGTCAGTCTCACTTTCTTCGTTCTACTCAGTCCAAGTATTAACTTTTTGCATAACATGCTCAATTCTCTTCTAACGTTTTATTCCTCATTCTTACTTTCTCGCCTCTCACCAGCAGCACTTTTATATCTATAGAGAGATTACTTACTGCAGAATTCACTTCTTACCTTGTTACTCTGCGCTAACCATCACAAATCGTTGGTCTGATTTCTTAGATAATAGCAGGCTAATCAAGTAATGAAAGTTACGCGTTTACGCTTCCTTCTTTAATGTTTCTTTCTTCTGCACAATTCTTTTTCTTGCAAACGCATCGCAATATTTCGAGCGGGTAAAATTTGATAATTAACTAATTAATTAAGTTTTAATTTTCCACTTTATAACACGAATCCGATTTCAAGGAGCGAACCGTTGTGCATAATAAAGAGCTGGGTTTAACGTTATAGACCATATATCGTGAAAGTCGTGTAAACTGTCCACCGACGAGGACGGTAAACGTGCGACGTTAATAATTCTTGTTGTTCCGTAGGACAGGAGTCGGAGCGGAATTTACGACAAAGTTAGACATTCCGCGTTAGAACGAGGTGCGAGACATCTCTTTCGCCAGAAAACGTTTCTAGCGGGTTCTCCCGCTACGACGGAATGCGACGTCAGAGAAAAATAGCGTCGCCTGTACATGCATTACAAGATATTTCTCGTTATTTTTCGTATTCATTCCGAGCATTGTATTGTAATGGGGAAAAATTATACGATGTCTGTCATGCATATAATTTATTTATCACTGTAATATAAAGCCGCTTACTAATTATCTCTATGAGCTTTCTTTTCACGAGCGTAATTATCGTTATAATTACGCCAAGTAATTAACGCGTACAATTTCCACGATTTGTGTGCCGGATAATCGTACAAGAATTCACGAATAAGAGCGCATAACGAACAATCTCGGCGCGTTCTTTTAATCGCCCTAGCACGATCTCGTTTGCGTCTTTTCCTTAAAGGAAATATTTGATCGCCGTATTTTCTCCTCTAGTTACGCGCGCGCTCGTACCTAAACCGACGTACGTAATAGGTACGCATAAGCTGTTTTGCGCGATTGCTCAAAAGCGCTGTAAAGTGACCTGAAAGCGCAGAGTAAATAGATGTGCACGTTCGGTTTATTAGAGCTAGAGACGAGACTCTGGTATTAAAGTAGGTTGGCAGTCAGGCAAAGAAAAATCGATTGGATAACAAAATTATCGTCATTTATCAAATTATTAATATCGCGATAATTCGCATCGCTGCGCACAGGATCATCTAGAATATACCAAATTTTTGACTTTCAATTTTTGTCGTCGCATATTTAATGGACATCTAATGATTGAAAAGAAGCAAGATATGTTACTTTGCATAATATACTGAATTGGACGGTAACATTTTCTGCAAATCATGTACCGGAATTATTATATTACTTTTCTTATAAAAAAATAATAATTTTTCCTTGTTATTATGTATCTATATATTATTTTAAAATATTGATAAAATACTAATAAATTGCATCATCTCAAAGCGATAGATGAAAAGAAATGCCGTATTACGAAGTCATTTCTAATACAATAAATTTACTTATAATCTATGTATAGACTTATAATCTATGATAAGAATGTATGTGAAAATCATTTTTCTGGAATATTTAACGATTTATATTATATATGTGAATACATAGACAGTCTGTAATGACTTAATATTACGGCGATGCTTAATTATATGATAGATATCTTTACAACCTTGAGATCACCCTGTTGATCGTAGAAGTTTGACGGTGCGAGAGCAGCTTTGAGCCTACGGTTCCTATAGAAGATGAACATGATCGCCGCGAGCAGCATCACAATTACGGTCGTCAGGATGCCGATAACTAAACCGACAAACTGCTTCGATTCCGGCTCCTTGCTCTTATCTGGAACTGAGAAGGATATATATATGTATGGAGTATATACATATATATACACACACATATATATATATATAATATAAATGAGTAGATGTATGTAGTAAACAGATGCACCCGTCATGTTCGGGGATACGGAGGGATTCGATTAGCTCAACGATTAACGGTTACACTGCAAGCTCAGTGATCTTGCACATTGTCATTGGCTTAGGGACTGCGGTCTAGAGATAATTTACATTAATTAATCGTGACATCGATCGTAATTCCTAAGGATTTGAAACTATCCTTTAAGTGTTTAAGCAATTATTTAATAGAATCTTTTCTGTTTTTTCCATCTAATCTTATATTGTCCGACAAAATTTGACTTTTTTCTTGTCACTAATGTGAATAATTATTTCCGAGGTATTTCTGTTTGCTGAATACATATCTGTTGGTAAAAAAGTTGGCTGTTACGTCAGTTTTGAGAAAAATTATATCAAAGAGGCAAAAAACGATTATTTGGATGACCAGCTTTCAAAAAGTTATATAATATCACTGGCAACTATTTTTTTTTTTAATTTCATTAATACCACATGAAAGTATCAACTTTTTAGCTTTAAAATGCATTTTGGTTCATTTGGATATGATTTTTTTCCGCGATATAACAATTTGAATATAATGCTTTTCTCATGTAACATACTCTATCCAACAAATAAAGTTTTTTAATCGAAAATAATTAGTCTTATTCACTTTATTACAATTGATAAACTTTTAGATAATCGCGACTGTCATTTTGAATCAAGCAAGCGGAATATCGATAGTAACGATAACTGTACTGATATCACAAAAGAATTTTCCATTAATAATATTTCGACGCCGCTACAGACAGCTGAACCGCGCGTGTACGTGATAGCGGATTCACTCGTCCATGACGCTTGCATCAAGCAACACGACCTATCACCGTAGATAATACCGCTGAGGTAACCTCACATAATGTACGATGGGACGATAATGATGATTGCGTTCATCACGAAGCTCGTAACTCGATCACGGTTGATCAGTGCCTGGCTGAACAAAAACAATATCCGCTGATGGCTTTCGTAGTTCACCGCAACAGTCTGATCATCGCTTGAGTATTTTATGAATCAATAAACGCATAAGAGAACAATCTAATAGTCACATTAAAACTTTTTTTAATTCCACGATCCAGCAAACATTTGTATTCAGAGTTTTAATATCATCGAATACTATGAGAAAATGAAAATATTAAATACATTTGATTTTTCTTTGAAATAGAAGATATTAAAGTCAATCGATCAATAAATAAAGTCAATCGATCAAAAAATAATTATCCAATGGCAAGAAAGGAAACACATTCATCTTAATATTTCTTTATAAGAGAAAGAGTTATTCACGCACAGATATCAAAACTAATTGTAAGCTGTAAACTTTATTTAACAAACTCTGATAAATTCTCTTTATTTTTTTTCTCCAAATAAAAACATCAGAGAGAAGAGAGTTTAATTTTTCAGAGTTAAAGATATATCTGCGACAAAAAATTTCCATTTTGTTTCATGCTCTCTCTTTCAGTTCTCAACATTTCAGTCTCATTTCTTTCGCAAACCAATTTTGGCATAATGTTATAGAACACCAGCCGACAAGAAAGTATAATGTAATGTTATTCTTCCTAGTATATCGTTGAACGTCTGTTTCATTACTTCGCAGATTATTACCCGCGTTGGCGCACATTTCTACCTTTCTGCGCGGTGTAATATGTAATGAGTATTAGGTATACGTCGCGCTTCAAGCGAGAAAACATAAATACCTCGTCCTGTTTTCTTGCGCTTTACCTTGGGCGAATTTAACAAGCGGACACGCAAAGAGCATTTTGCGCCAGCAATGTATACAAATACAAACCTGCATTAAACGAGCACGCGAGCTTGAACCTAGCAATAGTTACGAAGAAATTTCAGCAATTTCAACATTGTCGCTATGTGATCGAACAATTTTGCGCTACGTAATGCGAGAAACGTCAGTAAGAAGAAAACACAAATTAGTTCAATGTTCATCCTTAAGAATATTGAAATCAATTAGCATTAAGAGTTTCGTTAATGAATCTTGATCCTTTTAACGGTATCTCGATACCGCGATTCGACATTTCAGTCAAAGAAAGTTAAAGAATTAATCAGGTTAATTGCGCGGCTTTTGTGAGAGTAAAAAAAGCATTCGTTCTATTGGTTAACAAACTCAGCGTAGTCAAGGAACAAAAGCAAGCGACCGCTCTTTTTCTTCCGTAACGTTTCTTTTGCAGGTAATCGAGAACGTCCCTGGGACTACTCGACGTACTTTTTCGCAGTTCTTTCGATCCGACGGGGTTTTCTAGCCTCATCGTCACCGTTTTTCCATTAATTGCGGTGTAAGGACATCGTTATCAGCGTTATCAGAAAGAAGATTTGCTGAAGGTGCAAGTTATTGACTTTTTAACTATAATTACAACTAGAGTTCCAATGTAGGATCAAACACAAATTATTTAATATATATTTCAGATTTCTTAATATTTTTATTTAAAAAATTTTTACATTTCAAAAACATATGTATATTTATATTTGCGTTTATTTTTATTAATCAAATTCAGTTTCAGATTTCTTAATTAAATTTACAATTTCTAATAATATTATTAGAAAACTATATTTTAATTTTTTACTCCTTCATGAAATCTAGAGAATTTCACGTAGAGATTGACATGTATTATATAAAATATTCCAAATAACATTTTTTCATGTAAATATATGACTAGTAATAATCGTAATGATCCTTTTTTTTTTACACAATTCTTTTGTGATATATCGAGTTCATTGTTATAAAACATGACAAGGGAAAAAAGCGTCGGTGAAAAGAGCGTCAATTACGCGGAAAATTATGAACGTAGCTTACCGGTATAACAATGGAAAAATCGGACGGTAGACTTACAGGTGTTATCTTTGCTTTCCTCCTTATTAAAAGTAGCCTTCACTTCGTCTCTCTGCAGTGGACCCTCGTTATTTTGATAGGGGCTGCCGGTCGCCAGTACAATGGCGCTCTTGTTCTTCGCCTCCTCGTCCTCGGTATTGTTCCATTCGGAGATAACTGTGCATTCAGGATTAGAGGTAATGAAATCCGCGCTCATCAAGCTCATATTAAACGTTCAAGCGTAGAAAACATTTATATATGTGTATATATATATAAATATATACATGTGTATGTGTGTACGTACATGTATGAATCATATAGTGAGAAAAGCACTGTTGAAACTAACTGAACTAATTAATAACTCGGTAAATTTTGTGCTATAAAATTATATCGATAATACACGACTAATTTAATAATTGTTAAGAAGCGAATTTGATTTTCGTAAAATTAGAGAAAAACATGCAATACTCGAAAACAAGTTGAATGTTACGCTTCATTTTCTGACAATTTCTCATCAAATCGTACAAATGTCTTTTGTGGCCGGTGTCAATGTAAAATTTCATTTGTATGTGGGATCGTTTTCTACGACATCGATCGTTTGAAAACGAACAAATATCATGACCAGAATTTAATTCGTGTCACACGCAGCTGGAATTTCCCGTTAGGCAAATTGAAAATTAGTGCCGCGGCAGTTTATCGACTAATGGACACCAGAAAATATTCCAATTTTCGAGCCGTTAGACGCGGTTTATACGCGAGACTTATAAAAAGAAAAATTAATCGAAGTGGGGACCCGAGCTTGCTCTCGGAGTTTTTGGCGCGGCGCGGTTCGCTCGGTGGAAAACTCGATGCCGTGCCAAAGGGAGGAACGGGTAAGGGGAGTGATATATTTTCCTATCGATGACGCGGCTCAACGAAGCGTTTGTGCGACGTGAATACGAGTTATGTGGTATACAGGTGACGAGGAACATTGGTCGCCTCTGGGCCGGTCGGTCCAACTTATCGCTCGTAGTCGAGGACGGGGAGCACCGGAGTACGTCGAATGATTAACGACATACCCACTCCTGCCCTGGTTGGCCCTGGTGCAACGAAGCGACACGGAACTTTCGAAAGCTTGCATTACCAGAGACCGGCAGCTCTAAGTTCCGTCTCTCGGATCGTTTGAGACGGATTAAAAGAAATATTGGTGATCGATATGCGGTTTCGACGATGTTGGATTAAGGTAGCCATTGGGCAAGTTGCCGTAATAGTTGCGTTTTGCCGCTGCGGAACCGCGGAATCGACCTTCTTGACCGAACTTGGGAGATTATACGGGAATACCGGTTTCACGATGCTACGAAATAGCATATTGCCTAATTGTAAGCTGTATCATTACCGCGATGAGAAATGCGCTTTTAATTCGTGAAAAAAATTTATGGACTTTTTCGTTTCTAAAAGTTACAGCGAACAGAAGAGATTACAGTTTTTATCCTAACTGTTTGTGTTTCTATTTAAAGAACCTAAGGCTTTCTCTTAAATAAGCTGCAGTGTGATCGTAATAGCTTTACAAACTCATAAATATTTCCTGATTATCTCTGTTGGTAGCGTATTTTTCGTTCTGTAATATTCTGTGTACGAATTATCTCTGATCTATATGAAAATTCAAGTTATTTTCTATCAAAGCCTTAAACGGTCTAGCTGGATCTTAATGCTTGTATGATTTTTGTGTGAATTTATATACTACGTATGTAGTCTCCAGAAATGCGCGCCGAAATGATTTTTCGGCCTTAAAACGCTAACTCTATTAAACTAGTAATATCACGAGTTAAATTGACTAGCAATTTAACAAATATGTCTCCGTTTCTGGGAACTACATATCGTAGTATATAAATTCACACAAGAATCATACAAGCATTAAGATCCAGCTAGACTAGTTTAAAGCTTTGATTTCTAACGTATAGTTTCTGTTATCACGTATACTGTCCTATAATACATTATATCGTTTATTTTCTATCAATTATTTTCTATTTTCTAAGCAAACACAACCACTGTTTCTAAAATAGCAAGAGATAGAAAAATGCTACATATTGAGAACAATTAACAATCAATACTTTGTTCTTGCTTGTGAGTTTGCGAAGAAGTTTAGAAAGTATTAATTGGAAAGAATTAATTGTTGCTCGATAATATATTGACATAACACATTAATAGGAAATTAAAGAAAAAATTATATGTTGCACATCTTGAGAAAGACACGTATATACAATAATTTCGTACAAATAATTTTCAAAATGAAATACGTGCAAGTTTTATGTGCCACTTGATATGGTGACAAAGAAAATCACTCGCTTCAACGTTACGCTGCCGAAGTTATCTTTCTCGTGAAAGGAAAGAACAGCGCACTGAGAGAATGATTAACGACGGCTTCGCTGGTCTGGTTCGTGCAACATTCCGGCTTTTCGAGACAAAACTTTTTGAGAGTATATATTCGAATTGTGTGTGTGTGTATGTGTATGTGTATGAATGTGTGTACGTATGTGTGTGTGTGTGTGTGGCAAGTAAGTTTCGTTTCCGGTTTGCGACCACGTGCTCTCATTCGCACAACGTGCCGTGGATACTTCTGCTTTTTGCTTTCCGCGGTGCTTTAAAGTCGAGCAAACAACGTAGGACTAAACGATTTTAGAAACTTTAAATGTTTCTCACGGTCTTTTCTTTGGAATACGATACTATTGTCCGAGCAATTCCGATAGTAAATATGTATAACTGCGACAGATATTTTCCCCCTTTAGCGATCATGTTATATTTATTGTTAAGAGCTAAAGAAAATAAGAGTAAAATAGAAAAAGGGAGAAAGAACGTTATTGAATTTATAAGCAGCAAAACTGTGTTTATGTATTGAAAAGTAATAAAGTATATTTCAATACATTTCCATAACATTTCTGAAATATTTCTTCCCGTTATACTACTGTTTAACCGATATTAAGTACTTTTTTAATATCCATTTCATATTCTAAATCAGCGAAACTCTGACAACGAATTTTAGCCTCTACGCAAAATAAGTTTATCTTATATCAATTTAATAATTGTACATATCTATCGCGCGCAGTTTTCTTGAAACTGCACCGTCGAAATAATTTTTCTCTCCGAGCTTCGGGACCATTTTCTTTCTACCGTCTGCAGTATCACCGTGCTCATATCTTCGACGAAAGTATGTCACTTAAAATTGGAAATCGCGTTGGATCGCGCGCTCATGATAAGACGCGCTTCGAAACTATTCTATTTCTAGATTTCAATTTTCTGGACCGCCTACTTTGATTTTCCGTTTAACTAAAAGTGCGCCTATAAATGCGAGAGAAGCCGCGGGGTAAAAGGCACCGTCAGACAATGTTTTAGCTTCGCCATTACTCTCGGTCGTTCCGACGCGACGCGAGAAACGCGCGCGCGAGTCTTACCGAAAGAGTAACACCCAGGAGATAAATTTCGACTGCGCGCTGGGATGGCAGGAGGGAGGAGACGGTGAATCGATCTTTCTCTTACCTGATTCGAAGATTACCTCGCTGAGCATGATCCACCGCGCGGCGAAGTAGAGCTGCAATTTTAGGAAGCGGCCGGCGCGCGAATGCAGCTTTATGGTGACTTCGCGCGCCTGTTCGAGAACTTGATCGGGTATGTAAGAGAAATGGACAGGCTCGCCGGTAAACTGGTTGCCACCTGTGCCGAGATAGACCTTCGCGTACGAGAAAACCTGCGAAGACATCACAGAAATCATGCAATATATGAGCGGCTTACGGGAAGGTGAGCAAGTTTTTAAAAAGGGAAAAACGGGATATATAAAAAAAAATTCAATGTGTTGCAATTAGATTTTAATAGATAAACATTTTTTATAATTGTTTTGTATAACTGTAATGAAACGCATGAACGATATTAATATTATTGTATATTAAAAAAAAATCTTTAAAAATAAATCATAATCTTTAATTTGGGACAAAATTTGGAACGCGTTGTAAAGCGAGACGAAAAGATAAAATTTGGGACTGTCCTTCCTAATTTGGGACGGTTGGTCATCTTACTTTATGGTAATGGAATCAAGCGATTGGATGATGCCCGAATGAGGGAAATGATCATGCATGATTGTATTGCTTCGTTCATAAAGTCATATTAGATACGGACGTATGTTGAAGTATTGTTATACAGCAGGGGAAGTGCATGATGCTCGTTTTCGAGAGATAAGCCGCGTAGATGAAAATAATTCAGCGAGAGACATTTAGAAATTCGCTATCGATGAAGGTATTAAGCGAACAGACGGCGCTGCAAAAATCGCACTGTAAATCGTAAGGAAAATGTTTTTAAAACCGCGTAAAAGCACGGAAGCATCGGCAAAGATGTGATCGTGAAATTTACGATAGTTCCTGGAGCTCGTAACTTCCGAAATAATACCGGTAACAGCGCGAATGGCGATACCTGCACGTCCTTCGTGAAGTAATTGTTCATGTGTAGATGTATGGCAGTGAAATTCCTCGAGTAGTCGAACTCGAAAGTTATTTCCACCGGACGTCCAAGCATGTTGGGTGTGTCGTTTCGCCAGCCGACCCATTCGTATCCTTGAATACACACAAACGAATTATTCGTTATAATACCTCACAGTTTTGGAGAATCTTGAAAAAAATCTAGAGTTGTGCCTCCCGCTGTTGTTAGTTAAAATTATACGATTACAACATGTTTTCACAATATAGGGTTGAAAGTTATCAAGAAGTTCATGAATTGATGAATCTTTTGATAACCTTTAACCTTTAAGTTTAATCACACTGAAGAAAGTACGAAATTTTAATAAATATTTATTTAAGTATATATAATATAGTTATAAATATGAAATATAAATTTAATCACCATACTTTATTGAGAAAATATTTATTTACTGAAAGTAAAAAATTTACTTATTATTATTTAAAGAAATATGTATTAAAATTTAGAAAAATTGTTCCAATGCATATATTATACAAGTATTGTGAAAACAAGTTTATAACGCTCTTGGTTTTAAGTTAATAAAATGTTGAGAATTACTACTGAATTTATAGTGAGAAGACGAACTCTTTCGCCTATTCAGATCTCTTTTTAACAAAAGATCCATTAAAATCAATTTACTAGTGAAAAATTAATTCCAGCATTGTGTATATTAATATACAAGTATATACGTAATTTTTATATACGTTAAATCTGTGTTACGCTTTTTGATATTTAACAATAGTTGAAGGTTGTTTGTGTGCTATATTAAATTCATCTTTTACGCTTCATGGAGAGAACGTATCCAATAAAAATTGTAATCTATATATGTCACGTAGAAAAGTTCCGATACACACGTTTGGATTTAAAAAAAAAGTTTTATGTTGCGGGTTGTATGATACGGTAAACCATTTATAGGTGCGGTACACGCACCTATAAACAAGACAATAAAATCTGTAACGCGAATAGTGGACAATTCGTGCGTGACATCGAATTTATTTGAATGTAGCGTAAACGGAAAACATATGCATGAAAAACAAATATCTAACATTCCTATGGTAAATACATATCATATATATCATGCATCAAATACATATATAATGAGAAATACCATGATACCAATTTTAAAAAGTTACAACTTGTTAATGTTTAAATTCCAATTAGGGTTAAATAAATCACACAAAATACTAATCTAAGAAAAGAGAGCAGAGGTAAGAGATTTTATTTTTTCAGTAAAAACCTAATAAAAACTGATTTTCAATGAGGTAATACTAAAAGAAGTTTCGTATAACTTAAAAGTCTTTGGGGAAGTACCGTGCCGTGCTGCCGTTTTACAATGAAGATAATTTAATATAGATAACTCGGTAACTTAAATAATTTGCAAGCACGTGACCTTCGTAGTTTTCTTAGGATTTAAAGACGTTTCATGTTATATAACGCTGCTAGCAATCGTACAAGAGTGTTCGCTTAATAGAATTTAAATTACCCGTTTCAGATTCGCAAGTTAAGCTTTCACGTGGGACTCGTATGCTTCCTCGAAACGTTAATTACGTTTCAAGTTTGTTTTCGTGCTTTCTATTCCTCTCGCTTCATTTCTCCCGGAAATGTTTCGCTCGGTGTATAGCAGTGCGAGAAGCGTGGTATGCGATACGGAAGAGTTTCGAGCTATGGAGCGGCCGTGGCAGGTTATTGCGCGAGAGTCTCGCCATTAGATTCCACTATATGAGTACATGTGGAAACACACCCGTGTCCCGCGGGAATATGCGGATTGAAAATGGACTGCAATAATCCTAAAACCTGGCCGGCACGGTGTGTTATGCGTTTCTCAGAAACGCTCCTGTTACTTTCAACATTCGCTCCAAAATCTCTAGCTCCGCCGCATTTTTCCATTTAAATGTCTGTATACAAATATGGCCCATGCTATACTTGCCAGAATTAATAACGAAAAACAAGTTTCGAAGCCATGTTTTACGAAAAAATCTACTGCGGTATAATTAACATTCTTGAATGTTTGACAAAATTTTAGATATTTAATATTTAATATTAAATTCCATTAATATTTCGATTCTTTAAATCTGGTTTTTAAATATACACGTTTTGTATCACACACACACACACACACACAATCAAAATACAAGAAAAATAAAAATACCTCGCTGTTATTTATTTAACAGTACATTCTTTAAATATTCCTTCGTTTTTATATTTCGCTGTTTTTGTTTGGTCAGTTTACATCAGTTTACATATTATAAAATGTAATCCTAAGTTCTAGATCCTAAGTTCTATTATTTTAGAAAAATATATTATTTCTTTCTAATTTTTTAAAATCATTCCTTTTCTTTTCCATGAAATCTCTGAAAAAGAAACGACACCGCTGCGAGATGGAAAGAAACAAAGAAAATAAAAGGGATCTTCTAGTTCTGAATCCGGTGTCGTCGTTCCTGCACTTTGACATAGTCGGAAGAGAATCGTGGGTTCGTCGTAGCGACATAAGAATCTTAGAGTATATTAAAACTTACGAGAATTTCAATCACGCAGTTTGCATTGTGTGCTCGCACGCGACTTTGTGTTTGGATTCCTGTGCAACAACTACTGCGATCGTCCCTTCCGTTTTCAACAATGTACCGGGTCCGCGCGGTAGCGTTATATCGCCCTGACCTATCCGCTTTCATACAACCCCCTTCCTCCCTTAATATCGTCCCTCGAGTAAATAGTTTCCAGTTTCCTGTCGTCGCTGCCTTCGGCCGCTATCTACCATCAATTCTGAACCTTCACGAGGATCGTAAGATAACCACGCTGGGCGAGTATATACCAACACCTTCGTTGATGATTTTCTCCTTTAAAGCGTTTCGGGAAAGACTGTTTAGTTACGAACATACAATGCTCGTAAACCAGAAATAAGGATGGCCACGAATTGTCACAAACTCCTCACAAACCGATACTTTATTAAACAAGACAGAAGTTTGTTAAGAGAACGTTATGATCAATATAACGTTTTAATCAATATATAATTAATTTACAGTACGTAAGTTTTCCGCAGAAAGTTTCTGTTATGATATATATTCCGAGAATAATACCTCGTAAAATCATAAATCGCGTGCGTTATTGATCGCTTTTCACAAATTTTGGTTATACTCTAAAAATATGATTTATACACACACACGCGCGCGCGCGCGCGCGCGCGCGTGTGTGTGTGTGTATATATATGAATATATCCTAATAAATAACTTCATACATATTTTATAATTTTCTTCTTTTTTCGCCGTTTGCGAATTCTCTCTTACGTATTTTTGAAGTGTTTTTAAAAACTTTCGAATGAAGGTGCCGGTGCAAATATCGATCTCGAGTGAAAAATTTGTTTCGACTGCAGGAATATCGAACGACGGCATTTCCTGGTTTAAAGAGAGTCGGGAGAAGTTGTACGCAGTTTTGCCAGGTTTAAAAGTTTAAGAAGGCGGAAGCACGACGGTGTATCCAAGTGTAGCAGCAGCGGTGGAGGGTGTCTCGTGGTATAAATGGAAAGACACAAATGTATCCAGAAGGCGAGTAAACAGCACCGACTGGTTGCAGCCTAGCTCGCGGTTCAATATAAATGTAAATTGGAACAGATTCGAGCGGGCGCTGTGAAACACGTTTGGCTCCGAAGCCCAAGCTCTTCCACTGGCCCTCTCGGCTTTTCTAGACTCCGCTGACCCTTTCGACTTTCTCGTTTACACACCTACACACACCTGGGGAGTAGACCGACGGGAAAATTTCATTTTCATTCTGGCGTACACGCTTCGAAAACGGACGCATCTCGCATAGGTGACGACGAATATTGCGCTTGATCAATCGTTCGAAAAACCGTTTCCGTATACGAACACATCCTTCTCAATTAAATTTCGACGGTCATTCGGTTTCCTGAATAAAATTCATGGATATCCGTAGAATAGGTGCTATTGATACCACACGCGATGAATTAGTTCCAGTCGGTATCACGCGCACTAATCATTGCTTCATTAAAT